GTTTTTTATTCCTGCATCCCCTGACAGTACAGCAGAAGAGGGCTACAAAGAAATTCTTTCTCTTCAGCTGGGATTCTGCATATGAGTGAATTACCAGAGTTATGTGCTGTACACAGCTGTTGTGATTGTAGCATGGAACATAGATGCATGGGCATCTGGGAGGTGGTTACTTCATTTTAGTTGTAGGTTACTGTCACACTAGAACCTTCTTCTCAGTGAGCTGGGATGGAACTGGGAGTCTGCATTGGTTTGAACATGCGTAGTTCAGCATTTGGGAAGTGTTAGTCTGGGGCTGAGATGAAGGTTGGCAGGCTGCATAGGTTGATAGTTTGAATTTTGACTTCAGGTTTCTGATTTCCATTTCTGTTTCATTAGTTGCCATCTTTAATGAGCTTAGGCGGATCAACCCATGATGTTGGGATATAAGATGTGCCTTGTTTGTGACCTTGCAAGTAGATTGTTTTTAGATGCAAAGTCAAGCATTCAAATTGTTAGCATAGGGCCTGCTCCTCAGATGTTGGTGTTTGTGACATTATTGAACTCCTTATGCTATGATTTATTTTCCTTGTTTATTTAAAAAATGGATGTATAGTAGTTGTACATATGTAGAGTATGATATAAACTGATTTCTTTTTTCTTTTCTTTTTGATTTTTCGAGACAGTGTTTCTCTATAGCTTTGGAACCTGTCTTGGAACTAGCTCTTTTAGACCAGGCTGGCCTCAAACTCACACTCTGCCTCCCAAGTGCTGGGATTAAAGGTGTGCGCCACCACCGCCTGGCTATAAACTGACTTCTAAGGCAGAAGGTGCTGCATATTGATTGAATTGATGCCAAACTCTTCTTCTAGAGGTCACACCCTTTTCCTTGCCTAAAATAAAGACCACCTCCACTTGTTTTGTTAATATGTACTCGGGTACTGGACGTATGATTATGTACTACTGCCAGGGCATACAGGGATGAAAGGTCTTCACAATGTAGTTATATTCAAGAGACGTGAGATAGAAGGATATTCTTTCATTTGGAGTTGCATGGAGAAGTCTGGTGGGTCAACTGTTGGCTGGTCAGATCCCACACCTCTTTAGTTACAGAGCAGTGATCTTAAAAGATGTTTTTCAGTCACCACATTTCTTTTGTATGGTGTGAATGTGATTTAGAATGGACAGAGAAGCATCTACCTTGGTAGAGATCAAAGCGAGGCTCTGGGGATGAGTAAGCCAGAGTTCCGTCCCAATCGCCTCATTTCTCAGAGGTCTCATTCTGAGGTTTTTCCTGTCAACAGTGGCAGAGCAGGTGACTAAAGTTTTAATGGTATGTAATTATTGCAAAGGTGTATAATTCATTTTTCTCCTAATATAATTGGCTTTTACGACTCCCAAGAAGTAATTGATGTTTTGTTTAATTGTATATATTTCTTTAAAATATTTACCTCTAAATATAATTTACTGAACATGTTATCTATGTGAAAATTTTCAATGCAGGAAACTACATGTTCTTTTTTTCTCAAAGAGCTTACAAAAATTTGAGATAATGATACTTGTAGAAATCTACTATGCCAAGAATATTGCTGAAGTTTCATTCAAACTCGTTTCCTTACAGCTGGAAATTCACTGTTCTTCTGTGTATTTGGATCTTTCTATTAATGACCAACTAAAAAAAAAGTGTCAGAAAAACAAAAACTATTGAGAAAATTAGGGTAGATCCAGATGTCACCAGTGTTTTCTGATTTTTGTGAATGATAATTTGCCTGGAGAAGGTTGGTTTTTCTTAAAATGCTTAAAATATTGTAATGATCACTTGAACTATTTGTATATTTAAAACAGGTTATCCCAACATGTTGAGAAATGCTTCACTAGGTTCTTAAAAATTTGAAAACCTTCATTAGAATGGAGGAGGATTTGATACTTGAATTTGAATTCTGGTTAATTGAATTCCTGACTGCAAACATTTAACTAGATATTCTGTTTTAATTTTTGTTTACTGTGAAAATACTGACCGTACTGTACACTATAACACACAGTTGTATTTTATACTTGGAGTTTGCTGTTGTTCTGGGAGTCATGGGGGTATGGTTCTAGCACCATCTTTTGAGCTAGTAGGAATGAGAGTCTATACAGAGTATGACCTCAAAAGAGTTACACGCAGCAAGATAATAATGATGATGATGATGATGATGATGATGATGATGATGATGATGATGTGACGTTATGTTAAAGTTTGCTTCTTTGATTCTTAAATAACTGTAATAACAGGTTTTTAATATAAGTATTTGAATTTTGTGGGTTTCTTTAAACAGTTCATTTAGTACCATGTGAAATTGCTGCAGTTAGGCTTTTATATGTTATATGCTCTTGAATATTCAATGGGTGCAGCTGGAAGCTCTTGTCTGAGGTGTTGTACTCAAGGGACAGTGCTGGCTTTCAGAAGTTGCTTTGCATCCTTCTCTGCTGGTTTCTGTGTTTTCCTTTTAAAAAGACTTGTAGGACACACTAAAGCTGACTTTGGTCCCTAGAAGAAATAATACCTCTCTTGAACTTGATATGGTTTGCCTGTTTATTATTCTCACTTGGGGACATTTTGAGGAAACCAAAGCTCATTTCAGTGCATTCCTTTGTCATGCTTTACGCTGCTGTCTCTTGAAGTGGCCCGACTTTCTTGGCCCCCCCAACCCTTGGGTGTTCCCAGCCTCTTAGCACAGAAACTCTTCTGAAAGCTCAGTGTGTCTGTCTGCTCATGACTCTCCTGTCTGGCACTTTGAAATGCTGCTGTCATGGTGAGCGAAGCATGTTGCTGCTGCATCTTAACTTGGTTATATTGAGGGGCACACACCATACTCTAAAGATGGACCCAGGTTAAAATATAGAGCCAGAAGGGTCATGCAGGTGTTGACACTGAAATAAAGAAACAACTTTGACTAATATGGGGGAAGTTAACTCCATGGGGGAAACAATTTCTTGGTGATGTCAGTGGTTCTCTGCTTTTTAAAGATTCATGCAGACACCTGCTGTGTGCTGAGTGCCCCTAGTAACCAGGATGGGGGTGATGGGCACCTTAACTTAAAACTGTTTTCTCTTTTAGGTCCACAACTCCCAGGCCTGTTGCAGATCTCCAGCTCCTGCTTTGTGTGACCCCCCAGCATGCTCTCTGCCGGTGGCATCACAGCCACCACAGCACCTTTCTGAAGCCGGGAGAGGGCCTGTAGGGGTAAGGAGAATCCCGTTTTTAAAAGCTATCAGTATTTTATATCCCATAGGGTATAAAATAGGATATTACCTCCCTTCCCAGAGCCCCTTTTAAAATGTGCTGTATGATATGTGTTTAAAAAGAGTGATAAGTACATGCACAGAGGACGTACAATACGGGACTTGCCTTACCCCTCTAGGACAGTTTCAGAAGTTAGTGGGGTTTGCTGGAAGGTATTTGGCACCAGCAGAGAGCATGCTGGGCTGCTGCAAGGAGCAGGAGCTGGCAATCAGCAGCGAGTATGGATGTTGGCATCTGAGATGGGGGAAAGGGGGTAAGTTTAAGTCCAAGTGTGGATTGTGCATTTCCCAAGACTCATTTGGGACTCCAGGCCCACGGATCTAAACTGTTTCGGCCACTGCCCTTTTTCAGGAGACACTGTGGAAGGCTGTTCACAAACAGTGAGGCTTTTCTGTGTAGTCAAGAAACCCTTCAATGATCTTGGGTGGCTCTGCCTTTCCTGGCTATACCCTGATAATTCCTCTGTGACCTGATGAGAAGAGACATAAGATGGAGCAGGATGTAGTGGTGGTGCTCCATGAGGGCATTTTTTAATGTGCTGTAGCTTCCCACTTGTGGACTGTTTGCTCGCTTGGCTTTCTTCCTCTTTCTTTGTGAAGGACTTTAATGATAACGTTTCTAGAAGGCAGGTGTTTAATTGTTTTGAACTGAGAACCCAAGACCGTTTATAGCTAATGAAGAGCCATCAGATTGGTGGGTTTAAGTGTACTAGAAAATAATACAGGAGGGTAGTCATCTCACGTATACATAAATAGTACCAGGTGCTTCAACACGTGATCAATTGTGTAAGTGCATTGTACAATATTAGTGTCCCAGTGCTCAGTTCTCTGTGCAAGTTATAGCACACGGTTTTGTGAAAGGGATTAGAATCCAGAAGCTCTGCATTTGTGACATGTCAGTATGATGTAGATATGCAAAATGTGTATGCATCCTACAGTGTAGACAATGTGCTGGTTACTCTAGGAGTTGTGAGAAGACATAGGATGTCTGTTAAGAGCATATGTAAGTGGGTGCTGAAGGCAGAGGTGAAGATGTAAAAAATAGGGCTGAGGTCTTAGACTAGGTAAGATGTTTATGGAGTAGGCAGTAGAGAGCTTTTGAAGGCTTAGAAAAGAAATCTAAGGTGTCTTACAAGCCATTGATTAAGAAGATTCACTTGGGCCAGTCGGTGGTGGCACACGCCTTTAATCCCAGCACTGGAGGGTTAGGGCTGTCATCCATATGTAGGATGAAGAAGAACAAACCTATAGAGATTGCTATTAATAGTGATAACAAGCTAGGTGTGGGTTTTTTTATGCCTGAAATCCCAGTACTTGGAAGGCTGAAACCAGGATTGTTTTGAGTTTGAGGCCAGCTTGGCCTAGAGAGGGAGAGAGAGACCTGCTTAACATCTTCCCTCCTACTTCACACGTGTAATAAAACTAAGAGTTTAAACGTCATATTTGTGTGTTTGATGTAGTTACCCAAGATTTAGACCCCACCAAAAAGGATTCCTGTGTAAGCCTTGGATTTCCTGAGATAGTAAGCACACATAGCAGAAGGTAAAACCTAAGTTTGCGAATGAAATCCTCAGTGCTATCGAATTTACTTACAACTTAAGGGAAAAAATATCAGTGAAATTTTGACTGCCTTCCTGGGAAATTTCAGTCGTAGATGTGTATTGTTCCTTTATGTATCTGAGGAATATAGTTTATCTTGTAGGCTGGTATTTTTTTGATTTACTCTAATAAATATGATGTTACCCTTTAGACACTTTTTATTTACTGACCAAGGTTTGCTGAATGGATTTTAAATTTGTCCATTATGCTGATCTTTCAGGAAACTTTCTATAATAGCATTAGTGATGATCAGTATTGCTATTTTTCAGCATCCACTGAGAATTTAAATAAATTCATTATTGGTAGAATCCTTAGATGCCATCATCAGTGTAGACTGGAGAAGAGTCAATAACATGATGATAAATCTTCCTTGAGTCAGATGATGCTGCCTAAGGCTAATTACATTGATTGTTCTTTAATGGTGCTTCGTATTGCCAAAGTCATTCTTGCTAGATCCAGTTGGCAGAGCCTCCACCCTTGTGCTCCCATGAATTCTGCAGGCATACAAGTCTAGTCGAGTGTAATGATAGAACTGCTGGGAAAAAAAAAACTGATTACAGGGTTTCAGACAATATCCTTAAGATTCCTTGTCATGATGCACCAGATGTCTTTGTTAATGGACTATTTTTGTTATTTAGTTTTTATAGGATAGTATTCATTAGATCATAATTTAGCTTTCTCTACATATCTAGATATGTGAACTCATTGGATTTAATTGTATATTTTCTTTGTTTTGTTTTGTTTTGTTTTTGTTTTTTCGAGACAAGGTTTCTCTGTAGCTTTGGTGCCTGTCCTGGAACTAGCTCTTGTATACCAGGATGGCCTCAAACTCACAGAGATCTGCCTGCCTCTCTGTCTTCCAAGTGCTAATTTTATAAATTTTATAAATTTTTAAGTTACTTAGTTTCTGTGCTGAAGAGAAAAAATTTTTACCAGTTACCAAGAATGTGCTAGAGCTGGGTGGTGGTGGTGAACGCCTTTAATCCCAGCACTTGGGAGACAGAGGCAGGCAGATCTCTGTGAGTTCAAGGCCAGACTGGTTTACCAGTGAGTTCCAAGACAGCCAGGACTACACAGAGAAATCCTTTCTCAAATAAACAAAAACAAGTAAACAATACAAAAGAAGGAAAGGAAGAAGGAAGGAAGGAAGGAAGGAAGGAAGGAAGGAAGGAAGGAAGAAAGAAAGAGAGAGAATCTTCTGGTTTGGATGTTTTCTAGCAGAAAGAATCATGCTCACATGATGGTTGGGAGAAGTGAGGATGAAGGAAAGCAGAGGAACCATTGCCTCAGTTTCCACAGTGTGCTCAGAGACAGTTTCTGTCACTCCCGACCCCCAATGATTTAAGTGCATGCCATATGGCATCCTGGCGGCGGCTCGATTCAAACAACCCCAGTGCTGCCATTTCTAGGTGATTTAAATCCACCTTTGTTTCCTCTTCTCTAAATAAAGCTCTGCCAGGTTTCGTGTATGCTACACCCGTCCTCCTCAGTGCTAGGAGACCAAAGCTGAGTTGGTACATTTAATTATTTAGATTTAATTTTGTAATTATTTACTTACTTAAAAAAAATTCAGGTGGTGGTGGTGCACATCTTTAATTCCAGCACATGGGAGGCAGAGGCACATAGAGCTCTGTGAGTTCTAAGACAGCCAGGGCTACACAGAGAACCACTATCTCAAAATGAAAGACAAGACCCTGCTGTGTAACAGCTATGCTTTGCCTTATCTGTGCAGTCTTTGTACTTCTGCTCTTCTGAGTACCACCACAGTTTAATTTTAAGAATTTTAGTCATGACCTTTTTGTGTGTTTGAGACAACTTCTGAGTGGCCAGCAGATATAATTTAAGACAGTACTGTGGGCTAGGTAGGCATGGTGGTACCAGCACACGTGTTAGTCCTCAGTCAAGAAGCAGCAGAGGAAGGCGGATCTCTACAAGTTCCAGGGCAGTCAGGACTACATAGTGAGACCCTGTCTCAGAAAGAAAAAACAAAACACAATGCTGTCATAATGGCTTGAGGAACCCTTGATAAAGTTGCTTGCCACCAGGCCTGACAAATTGAGTTTAGTCCCTGGCACCTTAAAAACAGAAGACTAACTCCTGCAATCTGTCATCTGGTCCCCGTAATGAGCATTAGCATGTGTGGGCCACACATGATAGATAACAATTTAATAATAAGAGAATTTTAAAGAGCAACAGTTTTAAAAATTTTGTTTCAATTTGCCCTCCCCCACCCAAATAAAACAACCCAGAAATAAACATTAGCTGGAACTGTGAGAGCTCCATAGTTAAAAAAGTGCTTACCAGCAAACCTGGTAACTTGAGCTCAGTTTCCTGAATCCACATCATGGAAGGGAGAAACAGCTTTTCCAAGTTGTCCTATCACACACAGACGTCACGCACAAGTTTGTGTGCACAGATAAAAACTAAAAAGACAAAACCCACCCACCAATGAAGCTTCTGAATCATGCATATTATAGTTTAAGAAACATTTTCCTAAACTAATAGTCTGATAATCTATCTAGTTGAACTGTGAGCTCAAGAAGATTTAGTGAACTTTTTGAAATTGTGTGATAGTCTTGTATGGTTGTGCATTTTCCTGCAAAGTTCTTTAGCTGTTTACTCTAGATTCTAATCAGTGTATTTCAAAAAGAAAGTAATCTAAAGGTAAGATTAGGAATGTAAATAAACCAGGTGTGGTTCTGTACTCATCTAATCTACCAACCTTAGAAGAAACACAAGGGAGTTTGCAAGAACCCACAAGTTCAAGATCAGTTCCAAAGATGGCATCATAAACGTCCATTCTCGGAAGGTTCCTTTCTGGATCGTTTAGAACTTCAAGTCAGCCAGCTATCGTCAAGTTGCTGAGTGATCGTTTTCCTCTGCTCAGGCTCTCTTGACACCTATCTCTAGTTTATTCTATCCAGCAAGACAGCTCAGTGGATGAAGGTTCTTAAACACCAGCTTCATGTTCTGAGTTTTATCTCTGGAACCTCCTGGTGGAAAGAAAGGACTGACTCCAGCAAGTTGCCTTCTGACTTCAGAATATTTTCTGTGGCATGCATGCAATGACACATATGCATGGCACTCTCCTCCCAAAGTTTTAAAAAGTTTTTTTTTCCATTTCATTTTTTTAATTCTCTGACGTTCTCTGTGTGTGTGGGGGGGTGGTTTTGAGACAGGATTTCACTCCGTGTCCCTGACTGTCCTTGAACTCCTTTGTAGACCAGGCTTGAACTCACAGAGATCCGCCTGCCTCTGCCTCCTGAGTGCTGGGATTAAAGGTATGTGCCACCACCGCCCAGTTTTTTTACCATCCTCTAACTTCCACCCTACCTTAATTTTTTTTTTTAAGTTGGGCCATTAATGTGTTTTTCCTTGCAAACATGAGAACCTGTGAGGATCAACAGAATCTGTGTATAAAAAAGCCTAGACACCAGATGGCGTACACTTATATCCCAGCCACAAGAAAGCAGAGTCAGGCAGGTCCCTGGGGTTCATTGACCACACACCCTAGCTAGTATGGTGAGTGCCAGGGTATGAGAGCCCATTCCAACCAAAACCCAAAATCCACAGTGTGACTCCTGAGGAATGACAGCCAACTTTGGTCTTTAATTTCAACACAAACACACGTTTGAACCTGTGTGCACGCACAGGATTTCAGATTCTTGTTTCCCTGGGAGTCAATCTCCTGTATCCCACTGGATCCACCTATCTCTTTTCTGGAGCAAGGAGCTAATGCACAGAAGACTCTGGGTTTCTTTGAGTTCCCTCCTCAGTGAGGGGCTGATAAGATCAAAGCCAGTCTCCATGGTTTTAGGTTGTTGTCTTTCCACTAATCCTGTGCTCCTTTCTTTGACCCTGAAGCATGATTAGTGAAAGCTCAGAGACAGGTGTTGGTGTTCAACCTGAAGACCGGAAAAGCAAACAGCCAGTCACTGGCTCTTATCTCAACCCTAATCTGAAAATGGTGATCCTGCCTCCAGGAATCTCAGAATGAGAGCTATCTCCTCCCATTTTATAGTCCTCTCTAGTACTGTGATAAAAGGCATACACTGCCCGGTTTCTATAGCAGCTAGTGTGGCTACTGGAATTAAAAGTGTATGTTACCACTGCCTGGTTTGTGAGGTTGACCAGTGGGGCTGTTATACTCTCTGATCTTCAGGCAAGCTTTATTTATTAAAATACAAATGAAATGCTACTACATAACCCATAAGGGATATTCTGGGGGGAAAAATGTGTTCTTGACCTGTTGCTGTGGTAAAACACCCTGAAAAAGCATTTTAAGGAGGGTAAATTTTGGCTCACATGAGAATTTCATTTGCTGTAGCTGGAAAACCATGACGACAGGATCTAGAGGCACCTGATTACACTGCATCCACAGCCAGGAAGCCGAGACTAATGAATACTGTTCTCATCTAGTTTTCCCCTATTTTTACAGTCTGAGATTCTAGCCCTTGAAGTGGTGGATCTTCCTCCTTCAATTCATGGATGATCACAGACATCCCAGAGGCATGTGTCCTAGTGATTCTAGCTTCTGTCAGGTTGACAAGCATTAGTAATCATTACAGATGTTCATGTGTTCCTGTACACCATTTATTTATTTACCTGTCACTTTTATTGTCTTATTCCCGAGACTCATTAGGTTGCCCAGTCTGTTTGTGAACTATTGAGCTCTCTAGTCATCATCTTCCTGCCTTAGCCTCCCAGTTAGCTTTGGCTAGAAACCCACAGCAACATACCTAGCTCATCGTTTTTGTTAATGATTACGTACTATTTTTATCTGTGTGTATATCTGAGTGTTTGTATGTGCATGTACACAGAGATCAGATCCCTTGAAGCTGGAGTTGCAGGTGGTGTGCCTGGTGTGGGTGCTGGGACCTGAACTCATCTCTCTTAAGAACAAGCACTTTTAACCCTGTGCCCTTATTCCAGTTCAAGGCTGTCTGTTTGACCTTTGATTCTGTAGAGAGGTATGTAGTATAGAGCAGTGGACAGCGTAGAGTGTAGAGCGGTGTCCAGTATAGAGCAATGTGCAGGCAGTTCTGAAGCACAGGGCTGGTGTTAGGCCTCTATGTTCTTATCAATGTCTCTAGCACTAGTTCTTCTGAGACTTGAAAACTTGTACTACTTTAAAAAATGAAAACCTTCTGGGAGGTGGTGGTGCACGCCTTTACTCCCAGCACTTGGGAGGCAGAGGCAGGCAGATCTCAGTGAGTTCTAGGCCAGCCTGGTCTACAAAGTGAGTTCTAGGACAGCCAGGACTGTTAACACCCTTTCTCAAACAAGGAAAAAAGGAAACCTATTATATATATTATTATAGAAATGAAGCTAATTATATTTGGTACCTGCTTTTACTGTGAAAGAACTTTTTTGAGCTGTGTGTGGAAGGGATTCTTGTAACATCTAGGCTTGAGCTGCTAGACTGGAGGACTGCGGGGCAAGCCTGAATTACACAGAAAGACTCTGTCTAAGAAGAAAGAACAAACTCTAATCTGGTTTCTGTGTAGTTTGAGAGTTTGCTTTTCTTTTCTTTTTCTTTTTTTTTTATAGTTTTTTTGAGACAGGGTTTCTCTGTAGCTTTGTCCTAGAACTAGATCTGTAGACCAGGCTGGCCTCGAGCTCACAGATCCACCTGCCTCTGCCTTCCAAGTGCTTGGATTAAAGGCGTGCGCCACCACTGCCCAGAGAGAGTTTACTTTTACATTGTTTTCTTCCCCATTTGACATGACAGTAACATGCATGGAAAAATCATAGAAACAGTTACTGTCTTTCATGTAAGATTGAAGTAGAAGGTATTTAAGACAACTGAAATTTTAGAATTGTTAATGTACACATAGCTGTTGGAGCTAAAGGATGTTTGTAAGCTTGAATTTTTGTGTAGCATGTTGTAAAAATTCTTTAAAACTTCCAACTGCTTTGTAATGGAAAGACAACAGAAACCATATGCCTTGCTTTTAGGTTGAGGTTCCAAGTTTGTTTGTTTGTTTTTTTTTAAATTTATGGCATGTGTTACCTGCGTGTATGTTTGCCTGTGCACCACATACATACAGCACCTGTGGAAGCCATAAGAGATCATAGGATCTCCCCAAGACTAGAATTAAGATGTTGTAAGCCACCATGTGGGTGCTAGGAACCAAACTTGGCTCCCGAAAGAGCAGCCAGTGCTCTTAACCACTAAGCTATCTTTCCATTATTTTATTTATTTATTTTTCAAAAATTTATTTATTTATTACATATACAACATTCTGCTTCCATGTATGCCCACATGTCAGAAGAGGGCGCCAGATCTCATTACAGATGGTTGTGAGCCACCATGTGGTTGCTGGGAATTGAACTCACAACCTCTGGAAGAGCAGCCAGTGTTCTTAACCTCTAAACCATCTCTCCAGCCCCCCATTATTTTATTAATATTTTGATATAGACATTCTAGCCCACAGAAATAAAGTGTAATTTTGCCTGATCTAATTTTATATAGTTGTCTTTCACTTTAGGAGAGCATATTGTTATATTGGTAGAGATAGCTCCTTTCACACAGCCATCAGTCTTTAGGGATCTCCACCAGGTAAAGCCAGATTCTTGACTGACCTGCATGAAAGAACTTTAGATGAGCTACCGTGAAGCATAGTTAGTAAGTTTATTAACTGTTTCAAAAGAGTTCTGTGGAGAATGAACAACGCAATCTCAGGACATAGTTATGAACTTTTTTTTATAGTGGACGGACGGGCACACACACATTTTTACTCTCTTTCTCTCTCTGAAAAGGAAAAAAAGAGAAAAGAAAATCTGTGATACAGAGGTAAAATAGGGCTGTTGGTATGACTACTGATTGAAAACAAGTAAAACATCTGTGAAAAGACAAGATTAGATTTACTTAAGGGTTGAGGTCTCTGGAGTATCCCAGGTAAGTCTGTTATCTAGTCTACTCATCAGTAACTCCCAGTCATAGCTAGCTTTCCTTTCTTTCACTTGACTGCCTGGTTTGTAAATTGGGAATTAAAAACAATTTAGGATCTCTCTAAAATATTTTTAGATGACGAGCCACGTTAGCCAAGGGTTTGTTTTGTTTTTTGGTTCTCATATCTACTAGGCTGGCCTCATACGTATTATGTAACTGTGCATGATCTTGAATTTCTTCTTGCCTCCAACTCAGACATTTAGGAATTATGGCCATTCACCCACTCCCTAGTTTATTTAGGGATGGTGGTCAAACCACGGCTTTCAACAAAAGTACACTCTCAACCCTCTGATGTTTTTGTTGTTGTTTTGGTTTGGTTTTATTTACTTTGGTTTGGTTTTTTTAGATGGATTTTAGAGATAAGGTTTCTCTGGCCCTTCTTGAAGTCTCTCTGTAGACCAGGCTGGCCTTGAATTTAGAGATTTGCCTGCCTCTGCCTTTTGAGTGCTGGGATTAAAGGCGTGAGCCCCACTGCCCAGCCCTCTGAAGTTTTGGAAATAGAAGCTTGTATTGCAATATGTAGCTTGATTCAGTAGTATCAGGAAAAGCCCTTTGTAGAGGAATTTCACCCTATCCGTAGCGCCTCCCCTGTACTGGATAGCCACTCAGGCCAAGACTAAAGACCCAACTTTTCTCTATTTTGACCAGGAGGAAATAATATTTCACACACTTCACCCATCTCTTGTCTGAAAGTATTTCTGATTTAATTACTAAGTTAATTAAATTAAGTCTCTAAATTACAGTGTGTTTATCCTGGAACTAGTTGATGTGTAGTGTTGATGTCATAG